TTTTGTATGGTGGCCAGGGCTTTTTTTAATTGGGACTGTAGTGAGTCCCGTTCTTTCCTAATGGTGTTGTAGGAGTGGGTGGAGTAAGAGTAAGGTGACCTGTTCTTGACCGCGAAACCTGCACTTAAACACCCAATGCATAACACCAAGGGAGGGAACTAATCGGGTGTCGCAATCTATCGCTCGTGTTGACATTTATTGAATTACTAACATAGCTATTAAAAGATAGGGGTTTATGGCAGCACCCATATCACTTTGGGGTATAAAAATTAGATAACAACTTATTCTGCACAACAGACCAACTGAATATACATATAAAATTTCATCAAAATTGGTCAAGCCGTTTGGGAGGAGTATGGTAACTAAAACTGTGACACGAGAATTTCATATATATATAGATGTAGATTATATTGATACAATAGTATCTAGATGATTGTGTTAATTAAAAATATAAATTTAATTGAATATTTGCTTAAACGCACGATTAAGATTATTGAAATTGTCGGCACTGGATCGGAATATACATTATCAACACTGCTTGTGAACTGTGAAGTTTTGGTTCAAATTTAATATGTTGTAAAACATTATTTTAACAGCGGTTACAATACTATAAGCTTAATAATAATGAAAACAATTTTTAAATTTGTAAACCAATTTCAAAGACAAATTTTTCATTAAAATTATTTAAGAAATTGTTATTACGTATCTTATCAAAGTTTGTAAGACTTCTGTACCTACCGCCCAAAGTCAAAAGGAATTTTTCTATTTATGTCAATCTTGTTTTATGTTATTACTTATGCATACTTCCATTTCAGAGAGGTCATTGTGATGCCACCTTGAAAACTGATACCTAATAACATACATATGAGTAATACATTACACATTACTAAAAACAAACATGCCGATGTTTCACTTATAGGGACAATTTCTGTATAAAATCGACTTCTTAAAATACCGGTTGCAATTACGCTATCTAGTGATCAACTGAGAAATTTCAAAATAATTTCCAGCAAATTCTTTTCCTCAAGTTTGTTAGCAATTTTTTTTTCGATCACTCTACAACACATACTTTCCAAGATACAGCCGCTTACCATCTTTATTGCGACACCCTGTATAACTGTACTTTGTTTCCAGAAACCTAAAACCAAAAATTATAAATTCAGATTTAAGTAACTATTCTAATGGACACTATTCATTAGGGTTGGAAA